CTTCCTGGTATTTTTTACGCATGGCTGCTGTTTAGTAAGACTATCTTCAGAGTCTGTTGCTGGTTTTGAGAGGCAACAGACCATGCGAGGGCAGCTGTTCCACAAAGCTGTCACATCCAGGACTGTTGTGTGACTGACCAGCAGGTACTCATGTGGAGGCAGGAATTAAATCCAGATGTTTAATTGGTTTAAAACCAAAGAGAAACATTCAAACTACAACTTGTGTGAAGGAAATGGAAATTACGGCAAGAAACCATCATTTATCAGCAGTTGCCTATCAGCCTGGGGAAAATGGTGCATCTTATATGTAGTTGTCAAACAGCAAGCAGTACAGGCTAGATCTGTGCCCTTAGCTGCTAAATAATTATTTAGGGTCCTGAACAGGCTAGTGCCCCCTTACAGTGAAGCAGAGTGCTGCTGGTACTCCCGGGTGATCAGGGCTGCTCTGACACTCTATGAGCACACCACCAGCGTGCAATGCAGACAGAGCTCTAAGGGGTAAACCCTGCAGCAGTAATCTTGATATGAAATATCTGCTTTACGTGCCCATTTTCCCAGATCTGAATTCCCTGATTGTCCATAACGCATATATTAGTTCACTCGTGAACCCCCGGCAAATTAATGAATCTTTCAGGCTGATCCCCGGTTATGGTTGCAGGGATAGTCAGCTCCCTGGACAGAGAGGAGAGAGAGGCCACTTTAAGGCTGCATTGACGAGGGCACCCTCCACCTAGTGCAGCTCCAACCCATCAACTTCTGACATGACCTCAGGGTGTAACCCAGCCACCCTGCTGTAAAAGCCCTGTTCTGGCAGGCAACGACACGGTCCCACCACTGTATTGGGCACTAAAGAACAGGTTTCTGTCAAAACGCTCAGCATAGCAGGTAAGAGCTGAATTCGCCTGCGAAAAACATCCTGCTGATGTTGGAGCTTCACATGGAAGGAATATTTTCCCAACTTGAAAAGAAACTTCTTCAGTGTGTAAAATAGCTCCCAGGTTGTAATTTGTTATAATTAAACTAGATGAGGCCGATACTGGAAGGAGGCAAGCCAATTAGCTTGGGACGTCAAATTTTGTTTGCCACTGTCAAAGTCTGTTACAGGAACTTGATAGATTGTTGGGTTGGCTTTTTCAACCAGATAATCCCGAAGTGAAAGACAAGCAGGCAGCTAGGTGCAGAGAAGCATACTGCAGTTGCCATTGAAAAAAGGCTGCACCTGCCAGGGTGGTGCTTGGAGGTGCCAACGGTGTTGCAACGCCTGAGCTGTGGACAACTGGATGGAGTGGTGAAACTCAAGATTCAAACATGGAGCAGAACTCTGCACAGCAGCTGCAGGGGTTTGAAAGAGACAAGCCACCAGTTGTTTGGGCTAAAATCTGCCATTTTGGGGACAGGACTACAGGCTTTCGAGTGGCCTAATTATGTGTGCTCAGATTTTAAAGAAGAAAAGGTAGTCTTGTTGCATGCTAACCAGCAACCATACCACTAGCTTGAACTCTAATACCCTTATTAATATATGGTAAATACCATCTTCTTAATACCGCCTTCTGCACTACTGAAAGCAAGGAGATGTTAAGTAAAACCAGGCATAATTCCCATGGTTTTAACTGGTAAAGCTCTACTGAAAATTATTTATACTAGTTAATGTCATATCCTAGCACTAAAAAAACCCTTCAGCAAATCCAGGCTATGAACTGTTTAATTTTAGAGAGTTCTTCCAGATCATAACTGAACTTCAAAAAATTTATTTGTTTCAAATTTTTGTGTAAAAAATCTCTATGGATAGGAAAGAGCTGGGGACATCAGCCCAACCAATAATTCCTCCAGCAACAGCAGAAATTGTAATATATAATTACTCTATGTCACTGTACCCCGCAAAAATCTGTTAATTTCTTGATATAGTTCCTGTTTTCATGTCCTGAAGACATCTGCTGCTTTTTTTATGAAACTGGTGGTACCTGGTTCAGTCCTTAAAGAATATATAGTTCCGTATTTCTGAGGTCACATCTCCAGTTTTGCTATCAGTTAAAGTACTGTTGCAAATCTGATTCTCTGTAAAACTTTAATTGAGCAGAAACTTGGAGAAAGGAAAAAAGTCTAAAAGTTTGAAGGACAGATCTTCAGCTGTTCTAAGTTGTTACACTATGATTTATTAATGCTACCAGAACAGTTCATACCAACTGATAATCTGCTCTGAGGTTTTAGGATTGTCAGCAAATTCTGTTTTGCAGTACAAACCTAGTCATTTCCTGAAATTGCATGTTACAGTTGAGCTTAAGAAAACTACCCAAGTTTATTTGGAAAGCCAACACTTATTTCCTGCATAGCTGGCTGATCTGCGACTCACCTAACACCTTACTGAAAGTATGTGTTGCAAAAATAAAAGAATTATTGCTCAAGGCTTGCTACAAAAATGTGAGCCAATATACTCTACTGTATTGGAGGACACAGCAATTAACATTCAAATCCATTTATTATTCTCAAGATTTTTTACCCCAACATGTACAGATTGATTGGTACTATTTTTTGTGTCTCAATTTAGAAAAGAATGACAGTTTCCCTTGGCATTGCAGTGTGCATTTTGGCTTGTTCTAATGAAGACAAATTCCTCTCAATCAGGGTTGTTCTGTTCATTAAGTGAGACAGATGGCAGACTCGCTGTATTGGTAACGATTCTGAGATTTTAAGCGTGTTTGAGATATACTGGTTTGTGTTCCTCAGCTAAAAAGTGATCGATATTTCAGATGGAAGTCAGGTTCGTTCTTGGCAGAATTTTTGTGGTGTGTACACAGTTCTTCATTAGCAAGCTGAAAACCTGAAGGACCCACAGAAAGGCAGGGTTTAGACACATTCAGACAAATTTGAAAAACATGGTCCAGCAGACATGTCTGTCTTGGTAGAAAATTAAATACACGCTTCCAAAGCTCTGCCAGAACAGAGTGTGAATCTGTGCAACCAGTGGGGATGTAGCGCTCCTTCCCTTCCCTCCTGCCTGGTCCTGAGGGTAGCGCTGGGTTCAGCTGGAGGCCTTTAATCTGCCAGCCCATAACAATTAATGCAGGGAAATTAATGCTGAAATGTAAAACCCAAACGGGAACTGTGTTGATCATAGGAATCATTATGCTAGATGCCCACGTCCTGGGTTCTCTCTGTACTTGAGAAAGTTGAAGCAAGGCAGCTTCTGGAAACTGTCAGACACTGAACGGTGCTCAGATATCCCTGTCTCTGAAGTTCTGGAGCCATCACAAACACAGACGGCTGCAAGCACTGGCTAGGTAGATATCATCACTGTTTAAGGCATCATGTAAAGAAATGGAGTAATCTGTTGTGCTAAGCAGAAGTAAAATATTACAGAAGTAGATACATATATGTTCACCTTATTAAAATACTACAGCTATAAAGCAATTCACACTGTATCTTCTTCATGATGCCTCAAAAATGCTATTATTCATATTAATTTTGTGACAAACTACCAGTTTTTTAGTGCTAAGATGAGGTTTTCAAGATGGGACAAACTTGGTACTTTGCAGTATTCTAGAACATAGGGGAAAAGAGTGTATGAGGGAACACACAAATACACAAGGACAGATGGCATTAACTTCATAAAAATCATCCCTCTTTTTGGCACAGTCTGACTTCACACATGAAGACATACCATTTGAGGTATATTCAGTTCTAGGAATACTAAAAAAGGGTTTTCATAGAATCATAGAATGGTTTGGGTTGGAAGGGACTTTAAGGACCATCTCGTTCCAACCCCCCTGCCAAGGGCAGGGACACCTTCCACTAGACCAGGTTGCTCAAAGCCCCATCCAACCTGGCCTGGAACACTGCCAGGTGTTCAAGTCATCATTTCTGTTGGCTTTGTATTCAGTTGTCGTTTCTGTTGGCTTTGTCTTAACACTTACTTCATACTCAGTTTCAGGGAAGGTTAACCTATGTTCAGGCTGTCTTTTCTCCAAAGATGGTGAGGTCTCTGATTTAACTAGCTGGGAAACAGGTGGATGCACCGCAAGAGCCTCGTCACCTAAAAATGATGACACTCTACCTCCTTTGTATTTATTAGCATCCCCATTAGGTTTGTATTGATAAATAACACAAATGGACTTTAGAAGGGAAAGAATCAAGGCAAGCCTTCTTCTAGCTCTCATCTGCTCAGACTTGAAAATAGATGATTCAAGAGAAGACTGCAAATTTAGGATCTAAATGTTGTTGGACCAGGAACTACCAGGTGAAGACTGTTTAGGATATTTATGAAGGAACTTAGTGGACCTCTGTTCAGCTTCTGGTGGAGAGGTAGAGATACACATAGCAAAAGGAATGTCCTTCGTGACAGTCCCACCAAAGAAACCATAAAATGAGAAAGCACAAAACCAGAAACAGCCCCAAAACCCTGATGGAATTTCTGCTGAATGCTGAGGCATGTAGGCTCTGTGGAGAGATGTAACTCCCTGGGGCATACAACTGTGCACAGCACTATATATAGTAATTAAAAAGAAAGAAACAGTGTTCTGTTAAAAAGACTGCCAGTTCCCCAGAGAAAATAGCTTTGTGTATCACTTTATGCTAGTGGTGACAGAATAGAAAACAAAATACCACAGAGTTACATACATGTTCTTTGTCTAGAAGTATTTACAAATAACTTTACAAATTTTTACACACATTTTCAGGTTTGCTTATCTACTTTTAAATTAAGAGCAAAATTAGTCCCCAGAGGCTTCTAAGGCTTCAGTTGGTGCCTTGTACGGTACATTCATGCTTGGCTTCTTCCTGGGAGAAGGGAGGAAAAGAGTTTAAAAATGTGCAAATCATAGACATCTAAAGAGCCGTGGATGTAAGGGTTCCACAAGACCAACATCCATAGATCAGTCATCCTACTTCTCTTCAAATCAGAGAGGGCTACTGGTGGTGGGCTCAGGGCAAAAGAGATTAGGAAAGGAGAAGGAGCCATATATGAATTGTGATAATTAGATGAGTAAGTTAGCGCTGGAACATCTGTTCAAACAATGCAAGGAGTGGACATTGTGAATTCTAAATACAGCATTGAAATGATCTCTTGTACATTGTTGGGGTTTGACTCTGCTGCATATTTTGGAGTCAAAATTACTGTTTACTGACACAATCTTGACCAGGCACAGTATGATTCTATCAGTCAAAAAATACTGACTTGTTTGAGAAAGACGCACCCTTCTCCTAGTTTTCACAGGTTGTTTTGTTTTCATGCCTTAAGACTAAATGTTGTAAAAATATTGAAATTAAAAAAGAAAAAATTTACAATTTACAAGTGTCCATATAAGTAAATTATTCAAAAATTCAAGATCATCTACAAGGATCTACGAAATAACAACGCTGATAATGACACTGAGCCTGTGGGAAGAAGAATCCACATGCCGTGAGAAACAGATGGTGGGTTTCTTCCAGAACGATGAGTCACAAGGTTGGTCTTTTCTTCTAAAGTCTGTTTCTTCAGCTACAGCAGCAGAAGTCTTGAGTCCATGTTCATTACTTACTTCGACCTAAAGAGCAGAATATATGAATTACTTATAAATTAAAACCTATTCTGTTTATCTTCTAATTTCTGAGATGTAAATTCACACCAGCTGACCGGTTAGTAAATAATGAACAAGTGGATAAATCACCTCTGGTCACTAATTTCCTCAGCTGTATGACCCACATATAAGGTCAAGAATGAATATTTGGGTACAAAGCAGTAGCTTTGTATCATGGATACCACAAAGGCAAAACACATTTTGGGAAAAATCCCACAGGTGGTGAAACATGTTCAAAGCTAACATAATAATAGATTCTTTTTAGCATAATTTAACAATTTAAGATGTATTTTCACCAGGTTATAAAATGCTGACATGACCTCATTACAGACATGTGCATCTGAGCTGGACTTACACTATTTATAGTCCTCACCACAACCACATGCCTGCTGAATCTAGGTATTCTCACATGACTCCCTGTAAACCATGTTTACTTGTGTAATCTTGGACAATCTATGATGGTCTTTCATAGCAATTTTACAGTGGGTAGAGTCTCAGGAGAAAATACAAACAGGACAGGACCACACAGACCCATCACACAGTGGTGACCGCTCCACTGGCAGAGTTTCTCAGACACTGAATCAGTCCCACGAGCAGAAGTTAGCAATGTCCCTAGAAATGCTAGGGACATCCCTAATTGGAATTAGGAATTTGGTGTCTGTCCAGACAGGGTTGCCCAAAGCTATAGGAGCACTGGATCAGACGTACTCATCCAAACAGGAATAAGGCACATATAAACTTGAACTTCTGCAAACCATTAATAATAATAATAATAATAATAATAATAATAATGATTAAAAACCCTAATGCAAGCCAAAATGCAACTTCTTATTTTTTTTCTTCTAATCCCCATGCTCCTCTCTTTTCCATGTAGCAGTACATGAAGCAATTCTAAATACTACTGAGTGACCTGGCTGTTGATATTGTGCTTGAAACAGATGAAAACACAACAGTCTTCTTTATAGACCCTATGCTTTAGTCCATTAAGAGAACATGATGATTTTTTTCCACTCTCTCTCTTGTCTCCTGCCTTACACATATCTTAATTGAAACTGCACAGTTCAGGGCAAAGATCCTGCTTCTCCTTGTCCAGTAGCCTAATGGAGTTATAGGCAGAACAAAGAGCAAACAGACAAGCTATGATCATTCATATTTGCATTAAAAAGTGTTCCCCATGAGAACAAGTTCAAATTTAGCCTCTTCTCAGGGGTGACAAGGAAAACTAATCTCAGACTTGCTAATCATTAATAATTATGGCAGCACTAAGTAGACATTATGCTGAATATGAGTACTTGTTAAAAACAGACTGTCTTCTACATAGTTTGGATGAGGCCACAAAACCTTGTATTTTCAATGGGCTATGTTTAGTTAATTTATGAATGACATAAAGGAAACAAAAGGGATGAGAAAAAGGGAAATATAGCCAAGCTTTCATTTATAAAAAGCATCATGCTAATTTTTCCCATGAGTAAAGTTGTAAGGATGACAAAAGATCTGTAACCTTTATTAAGGCTTTGAATATATTTAACAAGCATTATTCATGTTCAATTCTAAGAGAACAGAAATGGAGTTTTTCACAGCCTGAATACCAGAAGTCACATTTCTTAGGGATACTCTGGATTCTCAGACTATATATGACTGATATAGATAGCAACTAACTTATCAAAAGATGTCAAGAAGGCTGATGTGCTGCACAGGGACAAACATCTGCAAATTTCTGGCACAATCCACTGACCATACAAATTGTTTCCAGCAATTTGGCTTTTAATTCAGACTTTGATCACTGATAGTATTTTTCCTCCCTGCTTAGGTAAAGATCCTCTCTGTATCTTTCAGTGCATAAAGCCAAAATATCAATAAAGAAGAAAACACGATATAATTTGTCTTCCAGTTTTATACTTCTAGCAGCAATAAAAAGGCCAGAGAGGGTCCTCCCAGCTGTACAATACCCATACATGGGCAATGGGAAGATGCCATTTATTCTCCAGTATTGCAAGCTCACCAACAACCCCCAAGTCCTTTGAGCTACAAAATCTGCTATCAAAGAACAAATTCTCAGATTCTGTGACTTTTCTATTGCAAAAGAAATGAACATATTCTGCAGGAACATATTTATAAGTCCTCTGTGAAAATGTTATTTTTTCCTCTCCTTTAATTATAGTAAATTTGCTAAGAAAGTACTAAACATTTATTCACCTAATAGTTTAAAATTAACCTGAATGCAGGTTTAGAGATTAAAATCTTCTATGGAGAGGTGGAGGTGTAAATGTTGTAGCTGTGGCTTTCTTCTTCCTGGATACCAATGTCACTTTTTCAGCCTAGCAGCTTATTCAGAATGGTCAAAACCCCAATTTGCTGTCATCTTTCCCACGGAAAATACAGCAAAATTGGCATTTAATGAAATATTACTGAGAATGCAGATTCCAGTGTAGAAGGTGTACTTAATGCCATGTCAAACTGTTCATTGTTTCATTTTGTTGTCTTAATGTGATATTTCTTCCTGATCTAACATACACAGTCATATTGAGAAAGGGCTTTTCTCCTTTTTGGGCCTTCATAATCCTACAATATTTACTCACTAAATTTGAGTAAAATTTTTTCCATGTTTATTTCTACAAACTGAAAGCTGCAGCATGAATAAAATATATTTAAAAAACATGCAAAAATTAATAAAGTCAGAAGAAATGTTCAGGTGTCAAGTGCCGACTCAAAACATTTGGTTAGCAATTGTCCACTTTAAATTAAAACTCCCAGCACATCCACACATGCATACACCAAGAAAAACCTTCAAACCCATTTTAATTCTGTTAACTGGTAAGTAAAATACAGTAAGTCATTAAATCAGTTTCAGTCAATTAGCTGCACGTGGGTTTCATGTTGCATTTAAGATGCATGAGAGGCCTGAAGGTAAATTTAAAAACAGAAAGCATCACAGCAACAACTTACAAGCATCTAAGAATTTCCAAATGAGCATCTTCTGTTTTACCAGTAATACTTTGAAATATCATCCATTTGAAGTTATCTGAGCTTCTGCCAAAATATATGTACTAGTAATGTCTCCCCATATCTTAATTTATTACACATAAAAATAATAGATATGCATCCAAACTTATTCATTAGGTAGCAGAGTAGGAAGATTCTATGAAAATGTGATTTTCATGGTGGGAGCAAATAAGTGATGGCAAAGAGATAATGAACTTCCAGTGAGACTCTACGGATAGATAGATTTTAAGCTGACTAGCAGTTTTTCAGCAAACATTTTTCGTTCAGTAGCTAGACAAATGTAAAAGCTTCTGCTTTTCCATAAATGGGTTAATCTCATTAAGGTTTATAGCAGCCATAACCCAGCTCTTTTCTTGCTAAAAAGTCAGCAAGGAAGCAATTCCATCCTTCACTGAGAGCCTCTCCTTGCGTTAAGCCAAGGCACGACGTGGCAGACGTAGTGATAGCTACTAATCCTTGCTTTAGTGGATATGTCATCAATGACAAAATGGCCTTACTCGAATGTTTTATGTGGATTAATTTTTAATTAAGTTCTAATTAAAATATAATTAAATTATTAGTAACCTGATGCCAAAATTATTTCAGGAGAAGGTTAGCTTTCAGTCCAGTTAGAAGGATTAATGCGGTCCGTAGGACCAGAACCTTACCTACAGGCTTTACAGGCTTTAACTCAACATGTTCCTGGGGGGGCTGTCGGTAGGAGTATGTGTCAAGTCCGCCTATGAAATCAACTGAAAATACAACAGTTCCAGAAATGAACAAATGGAAATGAAAATATGTCAACTGAAAAAGAAATATGGACAAATTATGTTAAAAAAAATAGTAAGCGCATGCACAGGTTTGCGTACAAGAAATAAACCAAGTAAGTAAAGATGCTGTGGAAACTGCTTACAGAGGGCTCTGTGCTCTGCCTTCCTTGGGGTCCATTTAGCCCTGTGCCTGGCAAGACAGGCGAGCAGCTGGCTGACCAGACATGCACACTCCTGCCAGTGTGTGTGCAAAAGGAGCATTCAGGGATCTGCAGAGTATGTAAACAGAAACCACTGTGGGGTAATGTAGCTGCTTCTCTTTAGGGCAATCTCAGCATATATTTCATAATTCACTTTCAACTCCTTTTGAAGGGTTTAGGAACTTGGGCAGTGGAAACAGTTTAGCTCCTCAACCTAATTTCACCTGAACTTTTATGACTCAATGGACTTGCAGGAATGTAACACACCAACAAAAACCAAAGGTGTGTCCACTGAGTTAAGAATAATCAGGTGAGAACTGAATGTGAAAAAGCAGCAGCATCTTCTCCAGATCAACTTGTGGGGACAGGAAGCCTTTTCAGAATCCTTCCACTTTCTCTCAAGATTTCTGCATCAGAAATAACGTGGGGATATCTGCTCTTGAGAAGTTTTTAGTTCCTTCTGTCGTCATAATGATTTTAAAATAAGACATTTTAGTCTGAGTCTTGTATCTCGTTATTTCTGGTAAGATTTTAAGCAACTTCGAGAAGCCACACATCCAAGCTAACCTAGAAATCTTAAAAGCAAGTTCATGCAGAAGGTTATTTTTCTGTTGATTTAGAAGGGCTTTTTGCAGACCTGTGCAGAGCTGACAAATTCAGAGCACATTAGGATTCTTTGGACACCTGGAAAGCAACAGCCTTCATTTGTTTATATACAGGCGTATATACAAAAGTCCTAAGCAGACTTTAGATCCTCATTGTGTTAATCACCATATAAGCACCTAATAAGCAACAGCCCCTTCCCAGGCAATGTATGCACTAGGTAAACAGAGAAAGAAAGAGTGCTCACCAGGATGAGGGGATGGGGAAATAAGGCTTAGAGATTGAAGGGCTGATGAAATTACCCACTGAAATCTGTGAAGACGCTCCTGTTGATTTTAGTTGCCTCTCCTCATGGCTCCAGGAAAGGGGTAGCTTGGCTGAAAACTGAACTTGATGTACTTCAATCATACAG